GGTTTATCTTATCCAGGTTTAATTGTATATACTTTCGGATATAATTTCTGTTTATACAGAATTATTAATATCTTTTAATTCTACAGTTTACCGAAATACAACTAAACAAAGAACAGTTTTAAACGAGCAAGAATACTGTACATTATATTCTTGAACGCTTCGTCTACATTACCTTTCATAATAACTGAGAAGATTAAATTAAGAGCGAATCTACACGAGGTAATATGATTTGGATAGTAAATAGAACGTCCATTGAATTTGTGAAATAACAAGCTCAAGCGAACAGACCTAACAAAATGTAATTAGTACAAGCGACAGATAGTTCGTCTGGATAGTAGGAACAGTTTTTAAATCTATACATATTTGTTAAATTATTTAAATAAACTTTATTAATGTTTACGGAGAATTTAGTTAATTTTGATTTATTATTTCCAGTGATATATTTTTTAAGGATGCGTTTGTCCACGATGACAGTGCCGATTTTAGGACTATTAGCGCCCTGGGCGAGATTTCTACGGTGCCTCCCTTTTTTACCATAACCCCTTCCGGGTTACATGTAGCATTGTATTTCATATCTCTGTTGCGCCTGTGTGTCCAGCGCCCTGGGCAATCGCCCAACCGCGCCCTACCCTAACACCGTATCTGATATTATGACGCTGAGAATTTTTGCTTACTCCACTTTAAAAAAGCATTTAGTTGTCGCTTTCTTTTTCAAATACTTTGAGAGGGACAACAATCTGTTTTTGTACATTGGCGGTAAAAATCCCCATAGGAAATGTACCGGATACTCAATAAAAAGCCTTCCTGAATCACCATTGACGCTATTGAAAGGCAAGAAACAATATCCGTAAGATATCCGCTTTAGAATTTTATATTCATCTTACGGAAAATATTTGATACTAACTGTCGCCCGCGACTACGTCCGCGCGGAATTAAAAAAAACTTGATTAGTAACCCATGTGTTCTTTCAGACTATGTTCTACATCTGTGCAAAATTTCAGCGGGATCCGTTCAGCCATTTTTGAGATACCTTCAAACAAACATACATCCATCCATCCAAACATTCGCATTTATAATATTAGTAAGAAGTAAAAATGTGAGAGGTTAAAGATAAATAGAGAAAAAAAACTTGAGCACAAGTTTAACAAGTAGAAGAGAAATTTAACCAAATCTTTATTACTATTGAATTGTTCCTCTAAGAAAAAGATCTGGACACAAACATTTTTGGTCAAACAGAAGAAGAGATATATCTATAAAGTTTTGTATATTTATCGACAGTAAACCACAGTTACATTTAAGCGACTAACCAGGTTCTTCTTCCTCGTGCACTGCAGCAGTTCACCGTAGAGACACTCGGCTTGTTGCAGGCCCACTTCAAACGTCTTCTGTATCGTACCTATCAGGTAGTCCCGCATTGATTCCAATACCGTCTGCTCACCACTTTCTGATGCGTACCTAGACATAGACGATTACATACAACCTACATTTCATATGAAAAACTAACAATTTGGAATAGAAATCGAACTGAATGACATTCTTCTTAAAATACACTAAAATTGACGTCTTATTTAGTATATTTCAATCTTAAAATCACATTACTGCTATACTGCTGTAGTCATAGTAATCACTAAACGAGATCCTTAGTGTAGATTAAGTATTATAAAATTACAATAAGGAATTGCTTATGTAACCATTATAAACTTTGAGTAAGACAATATCATGATTTCTATATTGTTCAACTAACTTGTGTACAAATGCGATGAGATCTGCCGCTCTGCCGCTGCCGTCGCATACCACCACTGGCACTGGAGGGGAGTCAGTCACGTATTCCAGTACTGCACGCACCGTGTTAGTACCGCCCTCTATCACCAGGCACACCACAGGCGTTGATGAATGTGTGTCTGTTAGGATATAAGATAGGGTTACACCGACGTATCCTATTTCTTACTTTTACAGTGGTAGAGCATGCTTTAACATCTTCGTACGAATTGGCCCGGCTCGCCCGGTGAACGCTAAGTGTTCTTTCAGACTATGTTCTATACTTATGCCAAATTTAATCGAGATCTGTTCAGCCGTTCTAGAGATATCTTCAAACACCCATCCATCCATTCACATCACATCCATCTAAACATTCGCATTTATAATATTAGTAAGTTAAATAAAAAGCAGCTCTTCAAGGCATACATTCGAAAAAAAATGAATAAACAGTATCCTATGTCCGTCTTCTGGCTCTAAGCTACCTCCTCACCAATTTTCAGCCATATCGGTAAAGCAGTTCTTGAGTTATAAATAGTGTAATTAACACGACTTTGTTTTATACATTTATACATATTTAGATTAATTATTGCATTGTAATGAAAACAATTAATTCAATGTTTTGTTTTTTATAAAATTAAAATTATATAATTATTAATTGAGCTAAAAAAATATACCTGCATTCTGATTTATTTGTGTCTTTACATGTGATATTATTGATGCAGTTACACTGTTTAGCAGTCCGTGTATAGCTAGCCTTACTTACATGGATGTAGTTTTTGTGCGGCAATGTACTTCTCCAGCTTTCTTCTAAGCACTATCTCTGCACCGTACCTGCCTACTGAGCCGTTGTCGACCAGTAAGAAGTATGCATGACGGTTGTTTAGTACTGCTAACTTTGATCTGTTGAATTAAAAAATAATCTCGTGTTAATATCATCAATGAAAATTTTAGACGTATGGCTGTTTGTTAGAAGGTATCACACGGCTGTATGGATCTACATTAAATTTGAAATAGATGGGTAGGGATAGATCTGGAAGAACACAAAGTTTATTTCAATTCTGCGCGGAGAGGAAAACAGCTAGTTTTTTTATATATAGGCTGTTTCAAGATATATCAAGACAACAACTTGCATATAATATTAAGCTTAAATTCATAAAATAACTGCGTTGAGAAACTTTTTTTGCGAAAATATTAATTTAATGCTTATACAATTTCAAAAGCGAATGAATAAAAAAAACAGTTGTTTTCAACAAAAAGCTATCGAGTATAACTTAATAAAACTGTTATCGAGAAAACGTATTTAAAAAAATTATATAAAATATCCTCGAAATAATAAAAATAACATAAAAGATTTCTATCACCCCTTAAGTTAATGACACGATATATGTAGGTACATATTTCCCTTTGTAATTTTCCAACTTCTGATACATCGGGCGTTCCTTCATCCCCTCGACGCAGTTCTAATATTACGATCGTTTTTTTACAACTTGTTGCTTCTTTATGCGTACTTTTCGGTCCCTAGACACTTCCCTTTATGTACCTCCTACGCGAGGCAATAAAGTAAACAGTTTGAGTGGTTCTTGTAGAAATTTAGCTATTTATTTAGAGACTAGCTGTCGCTCGCGACTTCCTCCGCACGGATTAATAAAACTTAATAAACCTAAGTGTTCTTTAAGACTATGTTCTACATCTATACCAAATTGCATCAAAATCCGTTGAGCCGTTCCTGAGATACCTTCAAAGAAACATCCATCTAAACATTCGAATTTATAATATTAGTAAGAAGTAATATGTGTTGTGCCAACCCTAATATTTATTTGTCTCTACGGTCTAGAAAACAAAACAAATTTATATTTCGTTTGTACACAAGCGTATGTTTCGTAGAAACAGTCAAAGCATTTGACCATCAGAGTGGAACTACGTACAGAATTACAAACATGAAAGTTTTCGACTTTCTTTCTTTTGTTCTGGGGAGATGAAAATGTTTTTTTTTATTACAATTCCATAAAAGTCCTTGTAATGCCATTTAATATTTACATCTTCAATTAATAAAACAATTGTCTGCAAAATAAAAAAAAACATCGGATAAGCTTGTAACTAATGGCATGACACACCAAACTTCAAAGTTGGGCAAACTGAACGCGGCTTATAATATTAGGTCATTTACCTGGGAGATGCAATAGCATGGTACGGCACATCCCGTCCCCTGCCGATGAGTTCGTGCGCGCCCTCCACTATACCCCACGGGGCGATACCGATGCTAACCACCCTGCCTGCACGTTGAGACCTCTCCAGCTGCAGCGCGTCGCCCACCTGGCGGGTTACACCTGAGAAACGATGTTACAGCTGCAATACTTATACCAGGTATCCCAGGCCTAATCACATTTCTAACCCTCTCACTTTACAATATTACTTTCGCAAAAGATTCCTCGAAGATGCTGTAAAAAATCATACACAAGTGTTGATTGTGTTTAATTATTTAAGTCTAATATCCCGCTTCACTGACAGAGACATATTATAAGAAAGAAACAAGTTTTTTTTTACACTTATGCAATTGTATTATCGAACCTGTATTAGTTCCTCCAGTGAATATCCATGCGCCTGTTGTTTTGGCGGCTTTGAGCAGACCTTTCCTGAGTACTTTCTTCAGCTTTGGCTGTAGGTCGAAGTTGGCCTTTCCTCCTTGTATAGTGATGAGGAGTTTCGGTCGATCTAGTGCCCATTCTCTCGTCAGTAATTGAACTATCAAGTCCGGCCGCGTGTCGTGTGATAGACGAACGTACTGTAATATATTAGTTAATTTACTTTCGTTAAAATAATAACGAATTACTAAGAATCTATTTCATTAATCTTCTTCAGCACCACCCTATATAAGCATTTCCAAGTTACCTGTGCTTTGGTGGGATGTGGTCCGCCTTGGAACTCGACAGTGCCGTAGGCGTCGGTAGGCGCGGGCTGCGTGTGCCGCGCGGGTACCCACGCCTCGCCTGGCCCTGCGCATGCCGCGCTCGACCCGTGCGCTGTCTTGCTCAAGCCGCACCAACATCTATAGTACAACGAATATCATGATTAATCTAGTTACTGCCATCTGTATTTAAATTCAATATATATTTTCAAATTTATACTGAAATTTTTTGAAAAACTACCATTGTTGCAATTTTGAATGTATCTCCCCTAATCGTATCAAACCTTCTTGCTAAACTTTCGAATACGCTGAAATTTTTTCTGTCATTTGAGAAAAAGAAAATCCTTTCACTCATTTGACATCTGCATTTTTATGTGTTTATTTTAAGAAATTTACAAAATTATTTAAGTTAATTATTAAAAAATCATCAACCATGGACGAAGATAAGAAACAGGCAAGCCATCCGTCCACAAGTAAAATCGAGGATCGAAGCAACAACTCCCGGCAGGACGTGCGGGAAGAGGAACAAGACGTGCAATCAAATTCATTCGTATCAGAATCAAGTGTGTTCACCGACAACAGTTATATAACGACCGCCAACGAGGCTCAGGAGATATCAAAAATTAACAGGATAATGAAAGAAATTTCCGATCAGAAGAAAGGTAAGACACATCGCGTCGGCAAGGTGCAAAGGCGGCGAGCTAGACCTAGAGCTAGCCAAGGTTTAAGAAGACCTGTAAAATATGAGCCTAGAAGTCGAAACACCAGAAGAACTCGTGACTTCTCCGTGTCTACGTTATTCCGCGGAATGCAAACCCGCTGTCAGTACTGCGGGCACCGATGTCGCAGAAGGTAGTTTGACATTTCACTTGTGTTTTTGATGATCTGTTCCATTGACATGTATTAGAAAAGGAATTAAAATATTAATTATTTATTGGAGTTTCATTTTCGGTCCCGGACTAACGCCTTTGAACAGATTTAATGGTAAACGAAGACGTAAGAATATTTGGAGACGAAGACCGCGGAAACTTGAAAAAGTTAAAATTATTAAAAGAAGACGACGTACTTTGCAAAGGCATAAATTAAATTCAGGTCAGAATTGTAGTTCTATGTTACTGTTTAAACTTTTTTTAAGGCTTTTGTTGCACTTTAATGCAGTATATGTGGCTTCTGGGTGATAAAGGAAGAAACAAAAAAGAACACAGTAAGTGTGATAATTACCCAACATTTTGCTTTTTACGATCATTTACAAAGTTTTCTTAATGTTTAGTAATTCATCTAGTTCTATACTTTTTGTGCAGTTTTTTTGGTTTTAATGCAACAAAATAAAGCCGACTCTTTAAGGTTGTATTGTTGTAGTGTGCATCCAGGCAGGCTCCACCAGCAAGATGCTGTCTTCTCTATTTATGAATACAAATAACCAATTAATGGACAATGAGAATGATAGAGAAGATTATAATGAGGTAATGAAGTATTTGAACTATTACAAAGATGTAGTTTTGAACAAGAATTATGTGTCCTAAATGTCTTTTAGTTTAAATTTGATTTATACTAAAACATATCTGATTTGTTCCAAGATATCACCGGAAATGATTTGCGAAGCATTAGAAAGACTTGGTAGATGGAAGCAAGCTGTCCACACTAAATCCATATTGAAATACGTGCGGGTAAAGATTAATTATTTTGTACGAAAATCCATAAATCCAAAATCCGAAAATCCTATTTTTTCGGTACATTTTTTTGGTATTGTGTAAAAAATTCGGTACGCGTTCGTAAAAATCAAAGGGAAGTAAAATTCATTCGTTCTGCACTCACGAACTTTGTATTAGTTTTACTGGGAATTCGTTTACGTTCGTGAATTGGTACGGAGAGAAGGAACAAAAAACTTTTATATAACAATGCATTTCTAGTAAATCGGTTGGCAAGAAAGAGGCTATATTTATAAAAAAATATTACTAACTAGTTTTAGACATTATTAGTTAGAATCTTTAAGAGGGAATGGCTAAATTTAGTTCCCAAAAGTGTCAGATTGAATAGTGAGGGGACATAAACATTGATATTTTAATAAGGCTAGTGATGCGACGATGCACCGACACATTGTCGGATATCCTTCCTAATACTAGAAAATATTCAATATCTTTAAATTCCACTCTTTAAGAACTTATACTAAGACAGATTACTTTTGCTTTTTGTCTGTATGTTTTTAATAAAGACAGATGACAATACGATTTTAGAAAATCAACAGTTAAAACTATAAATTCCAGATGAATTATCCAGTCACTCCTAACATCACTTTATTAGAAAGGGACTTGAGAGAAAAGCTTTATATCGCCACGGTCTCCGGTTTGTATTGTCATTTCATATCTTCACATATTCATCATCATACAAATATTATAAATGCGTATTAGATGTATGTTTATCTGATGGTATGTCTGGAATGACTCAACAGATCTTGATGAAATTTGGCACAGATGTATAACATAGTCTAGAAAAACACATAGGCTATTAATAACTGTTTTTTAAATCCACGCGGAATGAATCGCGGGTGACATCATCATCAGCTCACTCTACGTCCCCATCGAGGGGCTCGGAGCCTACCCTGAGTTAAGGGTGATTAGGCCACAGTCAACCACGCTGGCCAAGTGCGGGTTGGTTGACTTCACATATATCTTTGAATTACTTCTCAGATATGTGCAGGTTGCATCACCATGTTTTCCTTCACCGTAAGAACGTCGGATAAATGTACATATGTAAATCGGAAATGGAAAAACACATTGGTTGGATTCGAACCCAGGACCTGCAGATTGCATGCAATAAATTATGTAAATATTTGGTAATATTAATTTTACACCAACATTTCTGATATCTACATCAAAGTGGTTCAAAGTTCAAAAAGCCAGGCATGGTTAAGACGACATGGTGTGTACAGCATTAAACTTTTTTGTACTATTCTTAGTATTAAATGCCTTGACAAACACACGCCTGTCCGCCTTCAATTGTCAATATTTTTCAATAGAAAGTTTTGTATTATAATGTGACAGGCATAGTAACAGACTTGAAGAACGACAACTGGGAGCTGACGACGTCATTACAAGAGCAGAGATTAACAGACACACACGTTACTCTCTTCTGGAAGATCTATGCAGACACCATGACACCAGTTACTCTCAAGAAGGTTTACGCCATTTTTATTGACACCATTACAATTTAATAAGAATCATTTTATTATGACTATTACGCATTCAGTCATTAAGAAGTCTCTAAGTGTAGTTTTAGTTTACGAAATTAACACTAAGGTAACAATTATAAAGTTTCGTTAATATGTCTTTAAAAATATTAACGTTTAGTTCCTAGTTATGTTGTTAAGAGAAGATTTTTTTTTTCTAGAATGTTCCAGAACCAGACAAAAATTCGGAATATGCAGAGATTGACATACGTTAAAATACAAGTTGATTTAAATTAGAGTAGAATTCCATTGCGGTGATTTGTTTTGTTATAAATGAAATATGTGTAGCCTTTTTTTATTTCACTGCAGTAAAATTCTACGGTTAGATATTGAGTTCAACTATTAAAACGTGATATGTTTTCAAACATTATTGTATTTTTATTTCGCACTGAAATATATAATATTAAAAATATATGCTAATTAATTTTGATATCCTTTTTAATTGTTATTATCGGCTAATTTTTTAAAAGCCCGGAGACAACTATACATATGTTAAGTGTGATTAGGCCATAGTCAACCACGCTGGCCCAATGCGGGTTGATATCACACATCTCTTTCAATTTCTTTGCAGATATGTGCAGGTTGTGTCGTGATGATTTTACTTCAACTTAAGAACGTGGAATAGATGTACATATATAAATCGAAAAATACTTTGATATATGGACGGGATTCGAACCCAGGATCTGCAGATTACAAGTCAAATTAACCTCTGAGCCACCGACTTATTGTATTATTATTATTTTTTTAAATATATGGTTATTTATCTACTTAAACGTTTATCCATTTATTCTGTATTTAACGGCAAATCGACTTATGACGAAATACTCTTGAAATTTTTTCCATACGACGTTTTACGAGATTGCCCGGCCCAATTCAATTTATGATGTGATTGACGGCACTGGAAATGTCATGGTAAAAACGCTTTTCGGATATAAAAAATATTCTACCTAAAATAGTCTTTTGGCAAATAAGTCTGGCAAGTTATATTTATTACTTGTATTATGTAGGATTCGTAATTTTGCTTATCACCCTTACGTAAAAGGGTGAAATTTAGCATAGTATTTTTGTTGAACTTGAGAAGTATTCTAAAATTGATTCTCCGAAGAAGGTAACAATAAATAAAGAACAAGAAGAGATTACTTGAGAGTGCAAATATTAAAGACTAGATGTCGCCCGAGATTCCGTCTACGCAGATTAAAAAAAAAAGTAGTAACCTATGTGTTCTTCCAGACTATTTATCGAGATCTGTTGAGCCGTTTCGGAGATACCTTCAAACAAACATTCATCCATGTAAACATTCGCATTTATATTATTAGTAAGTTTTATAGTAAAATTTATTAAATTGCAGTTCTAAAGTAACGCAAATAAGTTTCAAAATCAAATGATTGGATAACAACACAATGGCTAGTGACAAAGAACATCGATAGCCACTTCGATTCTCTATTGTCCTATACAAACAAACCTGGAGTGAGAAATGCAATCCAGTGCTATAAAATTGAACTATCGAATTGATTGATTTGTTATGACTGTTAACCCGGCTCCACACTTGGCAAAGAACAGCGAACAACGAATCAAACAACGAACATGAATGTGTGGATAGATGTTTACCTTTAGTGTTCGCTGTTTGTGCCATTTTCGATTTTTCTACGCGAATAAAAGTATATTAAATAATGATCCTACCAATCCGGAACAAACTAGCAAGCTTGCCAAACGTTGGGAAGTTTGTGTTAGGTGCTTGGCAATTGTGGTTGTTTGTAGCAAACAAGAGTGTGGAGCCGGCTTTGGGAGATTTTGATTTGCTAGAAATAAAATCAAAAGTGGCGACTAAAACACCTTTTATTTGGTTTCGCAATTTGCCTTACAACTATTTTATAACACTAATTTCATATCACAATAATGTGACAGGGTAGACAACATTTAAAAAATTTGAACTTTTTTCTTAAAACATTTTTAACCTGTAACTGCAACAGTCTTACTTTGCTTTCTTTAAGAAGACAAATTAAATTTACACTAAGGCATATCCTTAATCTTGTTTCTAAGGAAATCAAAAAACTAAAATGGACTTGGTCAGGACAAATAATGACAAATGGACAAAAGAAGTTATCGAATGGTACCCCAGAAATGGAAAAGACAGAGAGGACGTCAAACAAATCGATGGGAAGATGAATTACCGAAGGGGTGGAGAAGTTTAGCCCGGGACAAGGAACTATGGAAAAATCTAGGGGAGGCCTATGTCGAAGGACATCTTGATAAAGCAATTGGAAGCTGAAAACAAAATATAATTTTATTTTTTTCTGTTTAAAAAAAGTGGTTTAAGTTTATGTCAGCGAATAAAGGCTTATCTTATCTTATATCCTTAATCTTAATAAGCTGTCTTGTTTAAGGGATTTCTAACTAAACAAAGGATGCCTACATAAGTTCTAAAGTCAACGTCAACTTATTACATTGCGTTCATTAACAACAATATGTAGAGTGTAAGTGCCTCTGTGTGCCCAACTAATAACAAGGTAAGTTCCGAGGTGACGCTGTTAGTAACTTGAATAATGTACGCAGTTATTCCCCAACGTTCAATTTATGTTACAAGTAATTTCAAGTGACAAGGAAACCGCAGTACTATCACAATTTACACGGTTCTACGTCCTATCTATATCTAGAAGACTTTTAAACGATTATATACCAAAGAAAATTTCTCTGTTATAGATTGTTAATTTATATATTTTCTGCGCGGAGTTACTAAAATAGTAGCCTATGTGTTCTTCCAGATTATGTTCTAAATCTATGAAAAATTTCAGTGAGATCCATACAGCCATTCTTGAGACACCTTAAAACAAACACCCATCTATCCATCCATCCAAATATTCGTATTTATAATATTAGAAAGAATAAAGATAATAAAATTGAAGAACCTGTATTGATTTAAGAAAAATCTTATTTTGCGATCATGTTGCATTTGCGTTACTGATAACGTAAAACCATTTTCTAAAATGTTTGGTTGTCTGTTTGTCCGCAATTCTGCATTTGTTCCGGATAACCTCCGGAACGGCTGGACATATTTTAACGAGAGTTTTATAAAACGTTAGTATAAAACAGTTGAACAAAAGACTGATACAAAAAGATAGTCATCCCTTTCGCACTCCTTAAATAATAATCAATTTTCAACAATATTAAAAGTCAACTTTAACTGGCCATTACTTATGTTTTAAGAGTAACAAATAGAAAAGAAAAACAGCAAATAGAATAGCAATGTTTTAGAGTAGCCATCTATCAGAGTCAAGGAGCAAATACATCAAACACTTCTCGCTTGTTTTGTTACACAATAGGAAACTTACTTGTATAACTTAGCAAAAAATGCTGCTTTTGTAGACCTTAGTAAATGTATTATTTCGTAGACGTCTACGAACTCTACGGCTGCTACGGGTTTACTGTCAAACAATTTATTAAATACTAGCTATCGACCGAGTGTCGTGCGGATTTAAAAATCATAGTAGCCTATGTGTTCTTCCAGAATATATTCTATATGTATTCCAAATTTCATCGACATCCGTTTAATCGTTCTAGAGATACCTTCAAACAAACATCCATACTTTCATCCAAACAGTCACTCGCGACTACTTAATATGTCTTCCAAACTTTATTCTACTTCTATGCCAAATCAGCGAGATTGCAGCTGCTCTGGAGATACCTTCAGACCATACATGCATACTTCTAAACATTCGCATTTATAATAAATAAGAAGTAAAATTTACCGCATGTTATAACTGTACGCTAAAGAAATATTCGGTACAAAAATCTTGTGTGTTTTATACTTTTATCTTTATGAATGTAAATAATGGATGAAGCACCGTCAGTCGGGTAACATTAAATTAATTAATCAAACCGCATATTTGGTAGATTTATGATGTAGGATATTAAACAAATGCTTTATTTTTGAGATTTAGATTTTTTGGGCAATATTTCAGTTACATTTCCTAAAAATAATATAAATGAACTTTTATAATTATTTTCTATTTACGCTTTTATAATTGACTAGCGTTAGCTTGCGACTTCATCCGCGAATTAGAATAAGGCATAATTTTTGTCTATGTATTCTTCCAGACTATATATATATATATAATTCTTCTGTGAGTGTGTATGTCACTGAACTTCTCTCAAACGACTGGACCGATTTTGATGAAATTTTTTGTGTGTGTTCAAGGGGATCTGGGAATGCTTTAGATTCATAATTTTCATCAAATATTAACTTCATATTAATTTATTCAAATTAAAGACGTGTAGACAGGACAACGTCTGTCGGGTCCGCTAGTTTTCTATATATTTGCCAAATTTCATCAAGATCCCTTCAGCCGTTCTGGACATACTTTCAAACATCCATCCATCTATTTAAACATTCGCAATTATATTAGTATTAAGTTTTTTATTAGCTATTAAGATATTAAAAAAATCGATTTTATATCATTAAGAATTGTGACGCTGAAATCACGAAATATTGATGGAGTATTATCGAATATGTTTAATATTACTACTTGTCGCCCGCGACGCCGTCCGCGTGGAATTAGAAAAAGTAATTAAGCCTATTTTATAAGCCTATGTGTTCTTCCAGATTATGTTCTATATGTATGACAAATTTCATCGAGATCCGTTCAGCTGTGATACCATCAAACAAACATCCATCTTAACATTCGCATTTATATTATTTTGTAAGATTATTAAGATTTATTTTATTAATTGTTAAGATTAAAAAAAAACTATTTTATTATATTAAATTAAGAATTATGACGCTGAAATGACGAATTATATCGAGCTATTTCGAGTATGTATATTATTTAAGAAATATTTGTCAATCCGTAACATTTCTCAGTAAATATTACTTGTTTAAAATAACGCATTTCATTTGTTTCTGAGACAATGTCTATCGTGTGTCGTGTGTCAAGTCGCCAGATGAAAAGATGTTTATCTCGTCTACAGCGAATTGAGATGCGATGTTATATTTATAAGATCTTCATGCATATACAATAAACTTACTCCAATGTCCTAAGCGTATTCGAGACAAAGACCGTGTTTAACTAGATTGCGAATTTAATAAATAACCCCTGGTTTTTATTAAAAAAACAATCAATTTATAATTTAATTAATCTTACAAAAAATTCACATGCAAATATTTATCGCATGGATGAATGGATGGATGTTTGTTTGAAGATATCTACGGAACAGCTGAACGGATTTTGATGAAATTTGGCACACATATAGAACATAGTCTTGAAGAATACATAGGCTCCTCATTAAGTTTTTTTTAGATTCCGCGCGGACGGAGTCACGGACGACAGCTAGTCGATAATAA